AAGGAGAACAAGAGAACTAAGAATTCTACATCGTCATGTTCGAGGATTGTCAGGTTTATTCCACCTGGCAACTAACCCACATCTGCTTGTAATCTACCCAGGCCGCTTTACACAAACATATACATGTAACATCTATCTGTAGTTTTCGCCAGAGGTATATATATGAAAATATATCTATAATTTTATATCATTTCTTCTTTTATCCCTTCAGACTTCAAGCCTCTCTCCCGCATTCATTCCAGCTTTAGCTAGTACATGCATGAATAACTCCCTCTATAGCTATTTCCCCCTTCCTTCGGATTGCTTACGTATAGGTTCCCTGGATATAAAAAGGGGAATATTAGGCTGGCGTTTGCTGTCCAGTTAACAATGACAAGAACTGCTAGGTGTTGACGGGTGTCGAACAAGAGGTAAATGAACTGGATGTGGTAGTGTGCTCTCCCTCTGCTCCTGTTATTGTAACTATATAGTGGACCTACTTCTCTCAGTTGACGAAGTAGTGCTATTTACATTTGAAATAATCAGATATACTTGGATAATTCTGGAGTATGGTTTCAGCACCAGGGAAAATAGAGCAACGTTGAACTTCTACCTCCTCCGCTTTTCAATTCACGCATGTCTTTTGTCAATCTACTGATACTTGTGTCATTGCAAAATTCTATCTCCTATAGCTATGAGACTTGGGCGCAGGCACCAAATAGTTTAATTAAACTACCTTCCGAGCTACTTTTGTAGGGTCAGTAACTATTTAACCAGTGACGTCATTTGTCTCCTCATTTTTTTGTGGATCTAACCACAGAATTGAGGTAAACAACAACCATGTTTGCCTCAACAACTTACCGGCGGTTCTGCTCTTGACTTCGTAGAAATGAGCGCTCCTTTCCTACAGTGACCTATTTCGTCCAGAAAAGGCTCAGTAAGTCATTGTAAAGATATGGCACCCTGTCGCCTTCGTCGTTGTTTGGAGGGATTTTCGACCTATTTAACCACCGCCATATCGTTCTCTGCTATATAAAAAGTCATATGGCGCTCGATGCTGGGAACTCCCTTTTTATTTAACCTAACTGTTGCCCACTGATCTGTTATTCTGTTTGTGGGTGTAATTTTCTGATGTCTACGATGATTCGTCCATCTCAAATCTCCAAAACAGTCCTTGCCTCCATACAGACCCGCTGAAATCCTCCAAGCTCTCCAGCTTGAAAAAGAGCAAATAACTCTCGAAATGTAAGCAAATATGTTCAAATATTATATTACTCCGCTTTTTGTTGCCCACTATTCAGGGAACAGAGGAGAAACGGTGGTGTTCTACGTACTTAGATACCCCGGAAAGCTTCATTCACCCTTAGGCGGTTGTTGCTCCATACCATACGTCACTGTCACACGAGGGACCAGTCGAGCGATCAACAGTTGATACTTATGCTACTTGACAGAGCTGCTTTATGGCTAGGTCCCTAGGTGAATGCTTGACCTCATCTACAAGGGTTGAGGGCTTTTGGGGAAGTGGGGTGGGGCGGGGTATGGGCTGATGTTCGCGCAAGAAAAACACAGGTAGACAACAGAAAAAAACATATCCCTCTAATTCACTTTTTCTTGTGGGCTGAATAGAGTGAATGATAAAAAAAAAAAGGAAAGAAAGAAGAAAATGGGCAATATTCCTTCCTGCAACTCTATCCTATTTTAATAGCTTTTCATACCAATTTCCAACGGTTTGTTGAGTTCGATGAACAGAAGAAAACAACCCAAGTTCGGTCTAAGTTTCGTACTTCTCTCGCATCCTTTTCTACATCTGAAAACGGAGAGAACTGAGCAAACTCAGCAAAAACGTACGGGGCGAAGAATAAAATATAAAAGCAACGAACGAAAAACGATCACATTTGAATGATTCAGTTACTTCGGACAGTTGTTCCCCGAGTAGGGCTACGGCTTCAAGCATTCTCCCCGCAATTGTCGCCTCCAGGGGCGGCATTGAATCAACCTGCAGGTCACATTGGACGGTGGTTAGGGAAATGTGCTTATTCTGAAGGATCATCAGGGAAGAGTGACGGTACAAAGGAGAGGGGTCCAGCATATGGTCATGGCGATGGTGAGCACTCCTCCACCCACCAACTACAAGGAAACAGAAAAGCAAAGAATTAGATACTTAACTAGATGTAAGCAATAGAGGAGGAACATTACCACCGGAAATACAAAGTAACCCCAGACCGAGCCGAAACAGACTCTTTCAATGACGAATTTGAACACCGTATCCCTTCCAACAAGGCGCGCCCTACCCTCAGCGACGAATACCAGCATAGTGGCATAGATGCACAGCATCCCAAGCGTCCTTCGAAGGAAGAACTAAGCCCCGAGGAGTTGAAAAGGGAAGAGGAGTACGAGGAAGAAGTCAGGAAACATAACGAGGAAGTTGAAAGAAGGTATGATAGGGCTGTCTCTCAGATTGATCACAAGGTGGAGTTCCGTACTTTGGAGGAAGAGGTTGAGAGTTTTAAGAACGAGGGTGAGTAGGTGGTTGGTTGATGGAGAAATATAGCCAGGATGCTTTGTTCGATTTTGTTTTCTTTTTTTTTTGAGGGGGGCTGAACTGAGCGAGTTCACTCTGGTGGCACTGCACAATCATTTTAATGGTGGAGAGGCTGGTCTTGAATGGATACGGAAAATGTGCTTGCATTTTTTTTTTTTTTTTTTTTTTTTGTCGACGTCCCCTGTTGCTATGGATTATGGACTGGTTCATTGAATATCCTGCAGAAATTGCAGCTGGATAAAGGCGCCCCAGGGTCAGAAAAATTGTATAAGCTCTCTGGTCATAACATTGTTATGTCCATAGATAGAATCGGACCAAATTTATGCCATCCCGTCCTGCGCCCTGGCCAAAAGGAGAATATGAAAATAGGCAGACATATACAGCCGTGATGCCTCTCATGTGAAAATGATATTCTATTGGGAATTCAAAAATCTGAAATGCAGATATATATATATCTAATAAAGGCGATTCAAATTACCCCAAGCTTTGAAGTAGCGGGGTTTCTTCAGTAGGATTGATCTCCTCGCTGCTGGACGAAAGAACGGTCCCATTAGCACCGTTCTCCGTTTCCGAAATTCCCTCAGTGGTGATATCGCTATCTGCCTTCGGAGGTTGGATATATTCGAAATAAATACCCATCACGAGTAAGGTTCCTTGTAATAAAGCTGTGACCACATAAACACCCCACGAACTCCAGCCCTCCGTCCCGAGTCGTGCTGCTAGACTAGCGGCCCATACGAGACTACCTGGAGTCTGAATGCACATCGTGGGAATACTCAGGCTACCAATGCGGCGTAGGTGGAATGTTGTGTAGATCTGGGGGAAATATTGAATGGAGGAAAGGACAGCTGCGATAATTCCGAATACGTTTGCGCAGAACTGACGCTGGTCTGGATGCGCAACGACAACAGTAATGCCAACGATGGCCGTGGCAATTGTTTGGATAACGCATATTGCGCCGACGATGAGGGCTATACGGAAAGAGGGCGTTGTGGTGGTGGATAAGGATTTGACGGCATGTGAAGGGATGGAGCGGGGAAAGAAGATGATGAAAAGGGAAAGACTAGACGGGTTGATTGTGTCAGTTTGCTTCTTATTCCACAGCTCATCTGTGTCTATATGAAGGGCTGGGAACTATCTTACACTACAAAGAAGCACAGCGCTTGCACCCCAACCTGGAGTATACCCAGCAAGCCGGCAAAGCATGAGAATCCATTAAGCTCTCTGCAACACGCAATATCCTGTGAACTTCTTGGCAGGACAAGTATGTTCGTAAATGCAAACGTCCCCGATGTGGTTCCCAGCAGAATAAAATATGGCGATATGCCAAAGGAAGACCGTCGGGAGATAATCCTATAGAGCTGTGGCAGGTAGGAAAGAAGAATGCCGAACAGAATGCCTCTATGAGAAATCGCATGGGTTAGTAAAGCCGCCCTAAAAGCCACAATCTCGAACCAGACACATATCAGGATTACAGCAGCCAATCCTTACAGCGAAAGAGCGAAATTCCACGGGTTTGGCGAGGCCAGCTCTTTACAATGCGGGCTAAAGGGGGGGTCGTTCATGATGTTCATGATGAGCTGTTGGAGACGAGTTCAAAGACGTTGGGATCTGAGGAGCATTGAAAAGGTGGACGCTGGAACTTAGTATATGTGATTCCGCCTATAACTTTTATCTCTCTACATAGCGCTGAAGGAGTTTGAACGGCCAGTCGGAAGGAATTTGAAGCTGCGGAAATACCCTGAGGTTCAAGGGTCGCTCGCTGGCTGACGGCGGGTTAAAAAGACCCTGGCGTCCAAGGGCTGTTGTCAGACGCACCTCTTCTGCCCTCTGATTGGTTGTATTGGGCAGCTATCAAAGCCGCACTTTGGGGGGCAAAATGCCGCGTGCAGGGCGCTAGTCCGTAATAGGAAGCCTAGGCTCCAACATTACCGATCGAGGACTTCTGTCACGTGAAAATGACATCATGCCGTTTGAGGCCTTGAAGCGTCCCCACAGTTCAAAACTCTACATCAATCAATCCTCTCTCGGTTGAAAAGATAAATATTTGCCCTGTAGAGCTACGATTGAGGAGCTGCAATAAAAGGGGCAAATTGGAGGGTATTTAATAACTAGCTATTTGAAAAGATGGGTTTCGCATTAAACTGGGAACTTTCAGGGAATCTCTCTGCCCGCTGTCAACCTCCCATTTTCCAGTTGTTGTATCACACTACGTCACACTTCAGTCATAGGGAGCCAAGCAAGTAACACCTGCCTTTATGTTGCCATATATTCCTGAGATCGGTTCGCTGCCTTCGCTGCCTTCTTATTGATAAAACTCGAATAAAGAGGACATTATTGTCAATTTGTCTATAAAGTCCTGTCCGCTCCATATCGTGGAATCGGAACTTTGTGTCTACTGTTAGTTGTTGATGTACAATTGTCATTCGTACCAACTTGCCACTCGATCGACAGAGCGTATTTATCATAGAGGCCCAACATGAGATTCTCATGGGCTACGGGCCTTGTATTCGTTTTAGCTGTGACGGAAACGACGGGTTCAAGGAACTGGTTTACCAAGGCTGGTATGTTCTGCTGTCCATGCGGTGCAAGGTTGTGTTTAAATCACCAGCGTTTGTACAATGTCTGCCGTTTAGCAGCTGTGGAACATTTGGAAAGCTAACTAGGTATTTTTAACAGTCTATAACAGATGGCACGAAACCGAGTTAGAACGCTGGCTTTCTGACCACGGCAAGTTTCTCAAGAATTTTTCACCTTACGAAAACCATGTGAATCTCTGCTAATATCCACATAGATATCCCATATCCGACCCCAGCAGATCGTAAGGATCTTGAGGAACTCGTGAAAACTAATTGGGAATCGCACATTCAGATTCCTTTATCACACACTGCGGAGCACGCGTCCGACACTCTGCATAGTGCGAAAGAATGGATTTTTGACAGGTATGCGCTTATACAACTATGTTTTGGATGATAAATGGCCTGACAATTTTTTTTTTTTTTTTTTTTTTTTTTTTAGTTGGAGCGATTCCCAACTGAAGGCCTTCCTAGATAAGCATGGGATTCCTAGTCCTCAGCCGAAGAAGCGTGACACTCTCTTGGCTACCGTTCGAGAAAACTTCGAGACAGTTGCCAAAAAACTTGGACAGACCACATTATATCCTGGGAACTGGCTTTACGAGCAATGGTCGGAATCAGACCTCAAGGGGTATCTTGACAGTCAGGGATACCACGTCCCCCAACCATCAACTCGTGATAAACTGATTGCCACTGTGCGTCGTAATGCACGTCTCGCCAGTCTAGAAGCTCAGCGAGTTGCCGTGGAGGCTTCTTCATCGGCTAAGGCTGCGCAGCAAACACTAACGGAGGCGCTATTTAATTCCTGGTCGGACTCTGACTTCAAAAAGTTCTTCGACGAGCATGGAATCAAGGTTCCTCAAGGGTCAAAACGCAATGAGCTTATTGCCCTTGCACGCAAGCACCGCGCTTCCTTGATCAGCAGCCCTGCATCTTCTATCTCTAGCGCATATGGTGCTGCCACTTCGAAAGCCGGAAATGAATTTGCTCGCGCGACAGAGGATGCAGAGTTGAAGATGGAAGACATGTTCAATTCAGCAATCAAGCAATGGTCTGACTCGCGCCTCAAGGCTTACTTGGATGCACGGGGTGTGCCAGTTCCGCAAGGGACGAAACGAGATGAACTTGTGGCCAAAGTGCGACTTCACAGACACAAAGCTATGAATGGAAGTTCGGTTTGGACATTTGATACCTGGAACAAGGAAAATTTAGGGTAAACGAAATGTTTCTAGCACACCATTACTATCGATCACCATGCTAACCCTTAGCGCATACAGAAAATATCTCTCTTCCCAACACCAAAAAATGATGAAAGATGTTGGTTATACACGCGAGGAACTCGTGAGAAAGGCACAGTCCGCATTCGCACAAGCCTCAAAAACCAGTGGGGCGGATTTTGCAAAGGTCACTCAATACCTAGCAAAGCAGGCAGCGAATGTCAAAGACGCCGCGTTCAATACCTGGTCCCGGCACGATTTGGAAAAGTATCTCGAGTCATATGGAGTCAAGGAACATAAATCCTGGAATATGAACAGATTGCGCGCTGAGGCTACGCGGAATGCTGACTATTTCCGCTATGGAATCCTCAAGCAGGAGCCGCAGCCAACACTCTTCTCCCGGTTGCAGAATGGTCTGCAGTGGGCATTTGATCAATTGAAAATCGGCGCGTTGAGTGGAAGAAAGGAAGGGGAAAAGACTGCCGACACTTTCAAGAAGAAGATTTCTCACACTGCTAGACGGGTGGCCGACGAGCTCTAAATAAAACTCTCTAGGCCCATTAGGTCCTGGGAGCAACGTGTACATGGGCGTTGAGGAGGATTGGTTGTATGAGGTGGACGATTCTGAACTCCCCATTTGCTTGCTCCTTCATCCATTTTGCTTCTATTTCGGCTCTCGCGTTGTTTTCGAGTCACTCCATTTCCGCTTTCTGCTTGCGCTTCGTTCCTGTCGTATTGTGATGATGATCTTTAATGATGATATGCTCTATGAAGTGAGAAAATCAAACAAGAAGGATTTTGATGTCTTTTTCTGCTTTCCCCTTCCCCCTTACATTGCTATTATACCTACCTTCACAGCCTGGGGGTTCATCTGTTGTTTGCTCCTTGCTTAGGGCATTGAATTTGTCAAAAGTAGTTTAGTTAGCATGCTAACTCCATTTTCGAATTGAAGCCATTACCTATTAGTTTCAGTTGCCCATTGGATTGATTTCATCGATTATTTGTATGATGATCCCAATATTGAAGGTGCTATTCATGCAAACATATAGACCACGGACAGGCACAAGGATGCTGCTGAACAGAAGTAGTCTGTAATTAAAATTACAGACTTCTTTCTTGCACGTCCCTTTTATCTGGGTATTCGCGTTGTTTGATGGGAAGTTAATATTACTCGAGAGCAGTTGACTGATGACTTACACAAGGATTTGTTGAGTTATTTTCTCCCTGATATTTCGATCCCACCCATATCCTTCCTTTTGGCCCAACGTATGCAGGCACTAGCCCAGGATGTAGACAGAGGAAGACGATAACAGAATTTCAAGAGTTCCGTCCGCATTGCAGTGACGCCCTTTATAGAGGAATCACCCAACCAAAACACGCCCAGACCGCTTTTGTCATGCCATCTCTGTAGTTGATAAAATCCTGTAGTTTCGTCAAATAAAAAAATTACCTGTAAATAAAGACAGTCCATTATACATACATCTCCTAAGGGACATCAGGAGTATACAAAACCACCAAAAAAATCATCATGTTGCGCAGCCGAAGGAGGACTTGAATAATTATTCTGTTTCCACCTCACTCATCACTGGTTTAACCCAACCGCATATTATCAATCAACCGGACTTAGGTGCTTCGGGATCCCCTTCGGCAACCAACATGCCAACGACAAGATACTTCTCCAGAAACCGCACCTCCCAGCTGCGCAAATTATCCATCTGCTCCGCATCCAACCCGCTTAGATCATCCAGAGGTCCCTTGAGGTCCTTCGTTAGCATTTCCTCGTCAAAGCTCTGACATGCCAATCCACGAGTTGCATCTCTGCCGGCGAAATTCTCATACGGACCGCCCTGTACGTGTGTAACAAATTCATTATTTAGTCTGATTATTTTCTTCTGGGGATATCTATATTTGTATGGCTTACTGGACCATAGAAATTGCGTCCGGAGGAGACATCGAACACCCTCCCGCGCACAGCTAGGTAGACGGGGCTGCCATCTTTGCCATTGTATGGAAGAAGAGTTGTTGGGGTGAAAACGCGGAAGACTACTGGGGGACGTCCTTTGGGGAGGGTGAGTGGTTGCCGCGGGCGGAAGTGGAAGTATACCAGGAGAACGAATAGGGAAACGAGGATGAGGTTTATTGGGGAGGCGATGGAAACACTGTTTTGTTCTTAGTATTTTTTTTCTACTTTTTTTTTTTTTTAAAAAAAAAAAAAAAAATCATTATTCATTTCTCGCTGCTAGTTTCAATAGAAACCCCATTATCTGCATGTCAGGATAATGAAAGTTCATATATTAAAACTTACACTTCAGCTGGTGGGGAAGCAGTATCTGGGTTGGCCGGGCGCTGGAGTTAGCCGGTTTAAAACAAACGCTGGTGGAATAATAGGGCGTACCTGTTGCCATCTTGAATCTCTCAGCACCAGATGCCAAGTTAGCTGCGACTTGGAGTCTGTAGACTTAGTGTCGGGTTTTTGGGGGATGTTTCAAGGCAAATCGACAACATCCTCGTCCTCATTGTCAAAACCATTTTGTTCGTCGCCCTCATGGGCTGAGAAAGCAGAGCCAATCGGCAGATATCACATGATTACACCTGAAACCACGTGAGACAGGTACATAGGCATTTCAAAGCCTATCATTGCATTCAACACTCAATCATCCGAGGTATCTCATACAATAAATATTTATCAATTTATCAAACATTTACTAAACCATGGAGCGCATTTATTACTGGCCTGGATTGCTCAACTCTGTGTCTTTGGCGATCTCCATTCAGTGACTGTAGAAATTGGTTACTAACAGTCGCCATGGCTATCGTCTCCAAGGGCTTTTTCGGAGTGCCCGTGGACAACACCTTAATTTATGATAATTTCTAATTAGCCCAGCCCTGGGTTTGATGACGAGTTGCTATTCCACTTTTAGCGCGTGTTGATTGGCCCAGGCACGTAGGTAAGTGAACATAATCCTCGAATTCGGACCCATTGTCTCCAAATTAAAGGGTTGTGTCGCTCCGGGGCTAGAGAAGCCATTGCTTCACCAGTTCGCGGCGGGATGCGTGAATAAAATACTGACACTCTACTAGGAGGACTCTACTATGACCGCAACCCTAATTTCTACTGTTACTTCCAAGTTTCTTCAATCTCGTTATTTTAAACAGAGTTCAACAGTCTCTAAATTACGATATAAGGGGGGAAAATATGCTTGCCTGAATATTCAACAATACTCCGCCGCTCTTGAACAGTAATAATGTGGAAGAAGAATCGATCTGCTAAAGAGCGAGAAATTGGAAATCCCACGCTACTCGCGACCACATTCGATAATGCCGCTCTCCGGAACATGACAAGCATCAATACTCCCGCTAATCGTGAGCACCACGCCAACGATAGCCACAGTCGGCAGGAAAAGGGTCATCATTGCGGGCCAGGCCTACCCCCTCTACCATTGTGAGTAAATGTCCCAATTTCCATCCTCTATGAATGTACCTCCCTCTTCCTCCCAGTAGTAGTTATATCTATGCGACCGTGAGCCACCTCAGTTTAACTAATTTCTTACCTAAACTCGCAAGTAAATCAATGGAGCCGACAACCCTCAGGAGAAACCCTCCGTCACGACCTGCAGTGACTTCATCGATATATTCGGAACGCGATTCCTATCTACAACCTGAACCTGATCTGTCATCAACCAGATACAATACGCATCCGTCAAGGAACTACAACACTTATCAGACCGGGTATCGTGACAACAAATATACAGATATTTCGCCGCCAGATTCTCCGATATTTATACCCGGCGGATATCGCGAAAGTCCTGATGTATCTCCCATAGATGAGCCCCTTCCGCAGTTCCCACCTCCAAGAGAAATCTGGCTTGCGACCGCTTTGCCTGTTCCCCCTAAGGATGTCCCCACCAAAACGAACACAACAGTGCGAGCGCCTTCTCAATCATACGAACTGCCTCCTCCACCTACAAGACTGAAGCCGACGTCCCCAAGAGAGGCTTCAAACAGACTCACAAGATGGGACGACTTTTCGGGGGAACCCACCGAAAGTGAAAAGGGCAAGGTTGCACAAGTTATTCCTGGGAGTATAGCCACGAAGAAGAGTCCGACGACAAAGCAGACATCTAAACAGGGGTTTAATTTCCGTGCTAAAGGGAAAGAATTGAACCAGGCAAGGAAAAAAATTATGGAAGGGCGGCGCCAAACTGATATAGATGTTAAGGTCGACAAGGACGATCCCGCTCGGATTCCGCCTCCTCGAGAGCCATGGAAAGGCGCAAGTGGACGAACTGCCATTGTCAACCCTATAGAGACCAAGAAAGCGCTACGGACACAGCCCCTAAGTATTCAAACCCAACTCCCACCCCGAAAAGATAGCCGTCAAGGAGTAGAACGAAAAATGCTCCCGACCACTAACGCTACGGGCGGACATCGACCACGTACCGTGTCTATATCAAAAGAGGGTGGCCATGTGACTCCTGACCTGACTATTAAACCCGTCGTTCCTCTAAAAGCAGGTAGCAATACCCCAACATCATCCAAACATTTCCTCCCCCCTGCTTTTAGCTCTGGGAGCGGGACACCCGCGCAATCTGAAGCCCCCAAGGCGATCCACCAGGCAACCCCAGGCTTGTATCTTGCCACGATGCTCCAAGACATAAATCTGGAACAACAGCCATCAAGTCGTTTTAGCGCTACTACATATGCACCAACGGAACCAGCAAACAGCCCACCCGGAACACCCCGCCCTCGAAGCGCTGATAAAGAGGCTCCGCCCGTCCCTTACATGGCGGCAGGAAAGAAAAAGCCCATCTCGCAAACCTTCACCAAAGTCATGGCACGCAAACCCACCCCCTCAGAAATGTCAACGTGGACCGCAAAGACTTTACCCCGCAGCCCACCAGAGATGGAAGCGGGCAACCGCATCGATGCCATGGAGGCTAAGATGAACGACCTCGCCCGACGCAAGGATAACATCAACACGATCATCCATGAGTTGACGCAGGTAATACAGCCCAGCTCAATCGCGTATGACATTGCGACGAGAAGCGAGGTTAAGAGGTCTGTCGCAAGTTTGAATAACGAACTTGTGGAGATTAGGAAGGAGGAACACGATGTTGGGATGAAGTTGATGAGGGCGCGCAAGAAGCAGGATCAGGAGGAGTTTTATCAGCCATCTAGCATTTGGATTAAGAGGGTTACTGAGGACTACTGAGCCTTTTTTTTTTTTTTTTTTTTTTGTCTGTTTTAGGTGGCTTTTGCTTAACGGGTTTCTTTCTCTCCCACTTTTTATTTTGACTTTGTTCAGTGATATACCCCTATTTTCTTTTTGGTGGCTGGCCAGGTTTGTTACCTTTTCTCTTTCCCAACCTCCACATATTTTTGAGCTTCTTTTGGTATCCAGGAGCTTCTAGTGGATAATTTTGAGTGTTTTCCTTCTATGCATGTTGGCATATTTGGCTTACCTCGTCCCTGTCTTGTGAGGTTTGTGAGGGTTTATTGGGCGTTTTGTTATGGTTTAAATTGTTTGGCTTTTAAGGACTGTTATGAAGATACCTTTGCCCTTTTCACCCTTGTTTGATTTTGCTTCTGAAACCTCAAGGGCTTCTAGAACATGTGTCCTAAGAGACTGCAATCTACCTTAACCGGCCGCAGCATTCCATCCTCGTCACCAAAAGATTATACTCAAGTTATGATAAGACTAGAAAGACTAATTCACAATAGTAACTCTCTATTTCAGCATTGTTGTCTCAACACCACTGGTCTCATAGAAATACAAAGGCAAAACAGGGAAAAAAGCGGGAAAATAAAAAATAAAATTACAATTAAAAATCAACAAGCAAATAAAACTAAACTACCTTCACAAAAATAGGACCTTTATCGTCAGAACTCTACAAGTATCGGACGGGGTGTTTAGGGTAATTCCACGAATGCAGAAGACGCCTTCTCGCCATTCATCATTTCCACAAATCTTGCGTTCCTTCGTGTATTCGTAACTGCGGACTTGTTGCGTTAACCTGGCCACGACCCCGATTGGTTTTCCCAAATATTGCTCGCTTGGATCGAGTGTCACTATGTGTGAAAAGATGGGTTGGCGGTAATAATGGATGGTGAGTGTGGTTGGTGCGTTGCTGTTTGTATTCTTTTATTTCTTCCCGGACTTCTTGATCCCTTGCTGTCCAGAGTTCAGGGGGCCTTTCCCCTTTGCCTTTTCTGCTAATTCTTTTTTGGCTTTGGCATCTGGATACTAAGTCAGTATATATTGCGGGTGCGTGTGAAATGTCCTCCATGTAACTGTTGACCAGAAGAGGGTTAACAGAGGGAGACAGGGAGGCCGGAGGAGGATAAATGGTAAACGAATTGCCAAAAAACAGAGACAGGTTCCTTACCGGCTCGCTGCTTCTCTTTGAATGCAAGATCTTCCTCATCCAGCTCTTTCTTTTCCTTCTTGGGGGCTTTCAGAGGCTTCGCCTTTCCGCCTATAGAAACAATTAGCAACAGAGGCGGGGAACAGTGTTGATTCCAAAATAATCGAAATAGGGACATTTTCCGGATACAACGCCCTGTTGGGTTCGTTACATACCCTCTCTTCCTTGGCCACCCATTTGCTAAGGGTTCTATATGGAACTGACGTGTGTGTTCAGGACGGATAGACTCGAGCACGGGAGAATGATCTTCGTAGGGTTTGGACCGTGTTGGTCAAGATCGCTCTTCGCATGATTGACTGAAGGTTGAAGTTGGCTTTTAAAAAAGTTTGGCTGAGGCTCCAAGAACTCGGAGGCTGCGCTAGATCCCAATATGGTTTAGTGTCTTTCTACTGTCTTGGCATTCAAGCGCTCTTGCTACTTTTGTACCCGCACGCAGATCTCAGAACCTCAGACGTCAAGCTTCATTCTCATCACCTCGCCATCACCTCGCCATCAAGTCCATCGGAACTCTTTTACTCATTTAATAGCCTTTCTTCCCCTTGCTTTGCCGTTAGCCACCACATGGGTTGCTCCTAGTGGTGCGCCGCGTGGTTTTGGGACATATCTAGTCGGGTTGGACATTTCACCATCACCCAAACCATCATTGACACTTCGAGAATTGAATTCTTGCTAACCGAAAATATTACCATTTCCAAGTTCGTCCCGCCACGTTTGGTCGAGGCTATCCCTGTTGCTTCTTGAATCGCCATGATGGCGTCGCATCGGTCGAGGTCTCCATCGACCCCTTCAGAGGGTGAGATCATCGAATCAGGCTCAGATACGAAGGCAACTACGTCGCAGACTTCTGTTAATGGCATCAACGTTGACCGTAATACCAGAACCAATACTTATGCTCCGAGATTCCCCGCCTCGTTTCCCAGATCGTACCATCGTGATATCTCGAGATCGAGGTCGAGATCCCGCTCCCCGTATCGTGGATCCAGGGCCGAGAAACGCAGCCGCAATTTTGCTGAAGACTCTGGAAGGGGTGATCGAACGATATCATCAAAGCAGTTAGTTTCAAGATATGATGATAGATATCACGATGGATATAGCGCCAAACAGCGCCGGAAAGCGTATCACGATCTCGATCGAGATGACAGTTATTACGATTCTAGGAAACGCCCTAGGACTCGAAGCCGATCTCCGTTCCGCGACACTAGAAAGCCAAAGCAATATTCAGGTGATGAACGAGATAATGATAGTGGCAGAATATCCAGGGTCCGTGACCCGAATGGTCAATCCTACACTGGTGGCGGAAGGCAGGTTACTGAACAGTTAGTGAGAGAGAGGGGGAAGCCCCTAGGTGACGCTCGAAAACAGAGACAACTGGCTGAATCTCGAGGAAATCAGATGCGGCAATCTTCACCCACAGCTGTTACATCGGGTAGATCGGATATGTATGTCACTCCCCCCGAAGACAGAACTATTTCTAACGGCACATCTAGTACGTCTGCTCCAAGCAATGATAATGAAGCCAATGAGCCCCCACCGGAGCCTGTCGATGAGGCTACACTGATTGAACAACGCAGAAAGCGCCGTGAAGCCATCAAAGCTAAGTATCGTAATCAGTCTACACCTCTCCTCGTCAAGGCCCTGGAAGCTGGGAATGAGACAGACTCTACACCACAGAATTCAGGTCAATCCTCGTCTCGCAATGACAAAGCAGGTCAGTTATGCCTCCAGTTAAACGATCATAGCATTCTGGCTAATTACTCTACAGATTCCCGTCCAAATACACCCTTAGAGACACCTGACGATACGTCCGGTGCTCCCTCTCCTACTGATTTGAAAGTTTCGCGGGATGAGGACCTTGCTAATGCTAATGCTGAAACTGCAAACGGTGTTGATAAGGAGGAACCATCCTCTTACGACTACGATCCCACCCAGGACATGCGAGAGGATAAGATGCGTCATGACAAAAGACATTTTGGTGAAAATATCTCATCTGGTGTTTATGGTGAAACTAAAGTAGCAAAGCAAGACGTTCCCGTATCGAACTCAATCGTGGAAACCCCAGGGCAAAGCGAACCTAGGAACGTTTCAGATATAGATATGTTTGCGCCAGATGATGATGATATGTTCGCTGAAGAGGTGCCTGTTGCCTCTAAAGCACCTGAAACCATTTCTAAACCAAGTATACCACAGGAACTCGATATGAGTATGATGGACAACTGGGATGACCCTGAAGGTTACTATAATGTCATGCTGGGGGAGCTCGTAGATGGGCGGTATCATGTGCAGCAAAATTTGGGCAAGGGTATGTTTTCTTCAGTGGTTCGTGCTACGGATTCGAAAACAGGAAAGCTCGTCGCCATTAAAATCATTCGCAATAATGATACGATGAGAAAGGCCGGGATGAAAGAGATAGAATTACTAGAACAGCTTCTGGCAGCGGACCCAGATGACAAGAAACACATTATCCGATTTGAAAGGCATTTCGACCATAAAGGCCATCTTTGCATTGTCTTCGAGAATCTTAGCATGAATCTGCGCGAGGTACTCAAGAAGTTCGGTCGTGATGTTGGTATCAATCTCCGTGCTATCCGCACATACGCGCACCAAATGTTCCTAGGCCTCAGCCTGCTCCGCAAATGCAATATATTGCACGCAGATCTAAAACCAGACAACCTTCTCGTTAACGAAAATCGAAACCTTCTCAAGGTATGCGATCTCGGTTCCGCGTCTCCAGCATCCGAGAACGAGATAACCCCGTATCTTGTCAGTCGCTTTTACCGCGCTCCCGAAATTATCCTTGGGATCCCCTACGATTATGCCATTGACATGTGGTCTATTGGCTGTACCCTCTTTGAGCTGTACACAGGCAAGATCCTCTTCACAGGCCGTACTAATAATCAAATGCTCCGCTCCATAATGGAATGCCGCGGTAAATTTCCACCCAAATTCCTCCGTCGGGGCACTTTTACCTATCTCCATTTCGACGAGTTTTTGAACTTCCGCAGCGTGGAAGAGGATAAGGTCACTGGCCGGATGGTGACGAGAATTGTGGACTTTAAGAAACCGACGAGAGATTTGAAAACGAGGTTGATGGGGAAAGGGTCGAAAGGGTTGAGTGATTTGGAGATAAAGGAGCTTACGCTTTTTATTGATTTGTTGGATCGGTGCTTGAACTTCAATCCCGAGAAGAGATGTACACCTTCGGAAGCACTGAAGCACCCGTTCATCACTCGAAATAAGGTTTGAAGAGGGATGGGGGATAGGGAGGTCGGGTGGAAATCTATGACGTAGCATGGTGTTGTGGGCGTGGATTCAATTCTTCTCTTTTTCTTTCATTGCAAATACATATATCGCTGGATGAAGCAGACCTGTTGTCTCTCGTCCAGGTATTCTAATTACAATTTTTAACATAGCTACCTAATGGCCTCTCCGTAGTCACATAGACAATGGATTTCTGTCCGGTGTGAATGCTTTGAGAGATTGATTTCCCTCAGCATCCTGACTGGAGTAATATCACGTTTATTTCCTGCCGATCCATGTATATATCGGAAAACTTAGCTGTAGTTAGATAGCGACACCAGCAGCTTCTAATGTTGGAAAGGCTTTGCACTTGAACAGAAACCCGTCCCGGCTATAACAAGGGCAGCCCCTTACAGACCATCAGAAAGCCTTACGCTTAAGGCTGTAAATTCATACAATCAAAATACGGAAGCACCAATTACTCGGGTAAGCGAAGCAAAAACGCCCTACAATAAATATATTGCGTCCAACTAAATTTTAATTTGTTCACGCGCGGTTGGATGCAGCCATACTGATCTCCGTAGATTGCAAACAAGTGCTCGTTCTTCTCCAATACCAGTGGACGCTTTCATATGTTCCATTCTTGAAAGTTGAGCTACCAAACAACGCATTCGCTTTTTGGCTATCCCCCTGACATCCGTTGGTATCTAAGGTTCCCTTTCGCCCTCCGTTCGTGCGGTTGTTGCGTTTGAGCGAGAGGTGTGGTCCCTGGAAGAGGCCGTAGTGGAGCATGTGCAAAAGCAGTTGTCTAGGGACAGCATATGTAAGGCTCAGTCTTATCTTGAAAAGGATAATGGTTGGGGATTGAAAGCCTTGCTTCAATCATGGGAATTACCCATTGCCATTGCCATTGCCAATGGAACGAATGAAAATTAGTACTGTGAATAGCAGATCCATCTCTTTGAGTCTAGCATGTGTAGACGTGGAAATGTATTGTCTCCGATTCCCAACGGAACTGAGCATGATACGCTCCAGTAACTGCAATCCCTTGCTTGACCCCCCTGTGTAATGGGGCATTCTCCCTGCCGAGATGCAGTTGAACATTTGTCAGGCAATCAAGTCGGCTAGCCGTCTGCATAACTGGGCAGCACCAGTGAGATACCTTGACGAATCTCCTCCGCAGATCGTATGGGTTTATCTTTGACGCTATCCACTGTCCTTACATTAGTTGGTGAGAACTTTTTGGGTATGTAAGTTGCAATTCGCAAGTCTTATGTCAGAACTGGCAAGGCTATATCTATCAAAAACATATCTGGAAGTTCATAACAAAAGGACACTCTACACTTTGGGTTTAACTAATGTAAGCGAATCACCTAGTTACCAGATCACTCACCCTACCTACATTTAAAAAAAAATCAAATTAAGCTACAATTAAATGGAATTACACATAGGAAATTATATACATTATTCCTGAACCCATGTCATGCAGGGGCTCTATGTCCTGTATTACCACATTTACTTACAGCGTGCTGGTGCTCGCTTTTTATTATGCTGATTTGAATCCTCCACTACCCCCTCCACAGCTTGTTGAGCAGCTTGAGCCCTAGCTAATCCTTCCTCTGCTCTTAGAATACACTCCTGAGCTATAGAGGCACGTCCTTGTTCTCACTTGCCTTTTTGCTTCTCATTTGCAGCCCATTGGGCCTTGTTTTCCTGTGCCAGAATAGCAGCACTAGCTGGCACCATCGAACCAGTTGATTTAGGGCTTGATTGGTTGGACTAGAAGGGTTTGTGTACGGCGCTTGATATGCTGCTTGATCTTGTTGGACTGACCTTCTAATTGAGCCACATTGCAAGGGGGTCTTTGGGATCCAGGGAGACTGATATCCATGAGATGTGCCAGGGGGACTGGGTGTATGTAGCTGAGATTGTAGGCGCGTAAGAACCTCCTCTGGATTGTATGGCACTAAGCCTGTGGCCTTTGAATATATTCTTAATAGTCATATCCTTAATACCTCCCTTCTAGCTACAGCATATAGACCTAAGAACTCATCCTTATCCACATGATTGATGTCAAGTCTCATGCCTGTTTCAACCTGCTTGCCATATACCTTCTTTAAAGGAGCAAAACAGCTTATATCCAATGAATGCAGTGGCATATAAAAAGGTATAATAGCATTCTCCATGCAGAATTGATAAAATCCAGCTGTGGCATGGCTTCCATGACCATCTAGAATAAGAAGCTGATATCTGCCAACTGTTCGAGCTTGAGTATGCTTGTAGAACACCCTTTTCAACCACATTAGACCTAGCTGGTCAGTGGCTCAGTCATTCTCACTAACCTCAATCACTCAGTCTGCAGGCAGGTCCTCATACCATGAAGTCTGATGCATCTTGCCCTTGAGAATAATCATTGAAGATAGAGCTCATCCCATTGTACTGACTGCCTCAATCACAGTCATTCATTCTCTATTTCCAGGTTGTATAAGAGATGCCTTTCCAGCTCTTTCAGGTCTAGTGACCACTCATGTAGTTGCAATGACCCTCATAAGAAAACCAACTTCATCAAAGTTGTATATATCCTCTGGTAGAATACCATATTTTTTTCTGGTATTCTCCACCAGCCTAAACCATGCAAGCATCCAAGTATAATCTTTGGGTCTTCACATAAGGCTCACTAAAGGTCATATCTGCGTATGAGTCTAGTTTTTAGCTCGTCATGGTGTTGAATGAATCTTCGAACCCGGCATTTTCCAATTGTAGGTGATGAACCAGATTCCTATATATGTCTTCAGTAGTTGAATGGCCATATCTGTATGCTTGCAATTCGGGGGGATAGACCTCTCTCATCCATGGATATTATCCATCGAACTAGATATTCTTCTTCAATTGAGATCAGCTTTCAATTGCCTTGTTGAGAATTCGCGCGTGTGGTTCGATTGCGCAGTCGGTAGGATAGGCTTGAGAGAGCAACGCCTTGGCAACCGCTCGCATGCTTGAAAATTGCTTAGTTTCATAAGCACTAATGGCTAAAAGAAGCCTTCCCTTGTGATTGGAAGCTTGATCTTTTGATTTGGTGGGCATATTGAATGATTTGGTGGATTCAGGTGGTTGAAACGGAAGTGTTGCGGTAGGTGATCGCTTACGTTAGTTAAACTAGTTAGTTAATGTAGTTAATCCACCGGCCACCAAAATCACCAGTAATTAAATAATTTTTAACCAGAAATATCTACACTCAAAAACCTCTAATTAAATGGCACTATATTACACTAAGTTCCAGGGCATCTTATTCTTGTATGCCTGAGCGTGCCGCAATTGCTGCATCTCTGTGGCGCTCGTATGCGTGGTCTAAATTCTGCTGGCGGAGGCACAGGGGGTTGGTTGAATGACAGACAGTTCGACAGACTCGGCAGGTGGAATAACAAGATCTGAACTTCCTCTCTAGTTATCCTTCTTGTTGGATTCTGCGGGTAGACCTTTTTTCTGGGGTAAGATGACTGCTGTGCCCCTCCAAAATAAGAAGGTGAATGCCAACCCTGCGTGGATTTGCAGCAGGAATAAACAGCCTAGGAAGCCATTTAAGTCCTATCTCATCTATAGTCCAGTTATTAGGACTAACATCAAGCCTCCAACCATCTGGAAGCCTGTCAAACCAGTCTTCTTGTAGATTCTGACCCTCGAGAATAACATACGGGGGTAGGGCCCAGCCTGACGCCTTGACTGCCTCAATCACAGTCACACATTCTCGATTTCCTGGTTGTAGAACCTTTGCCCGGCCGTAGCGCTCAGCACTGGTGATGATCTTGGTAATTGCACAGAGCCCATTGCAAATCCAGTCTCATCAAAGTTGTAGATATCTTCAGTTTGAATCCCATGCTCAGCAACTGTATCCCCCAGAGTCTTAAAAACCAGTCCTGAAAAACCCTTATATCCTCACATTTTGCTCACTCATGATTATAGCGTCTAGAATGGTGGCGTTGGAGCTCCATACATCATTTAATCAGCTTATAAACCCAGTTCTTGCCAACGCAGGGAGGGGTAGAGGTGGAATGCCATAAGGGTAAGAAGATGATCAGCCATATTCTCAACAAATGCCAGCCAGGGAGGGGATTCCTCGTTTTGCGAGGTCAAGAATCCACTGAACTAGCAGATTCTCTTCAGCTTCAGCTGGTTTAACTGAATAAGTCGATCCTGCAGAGTATTACGAGGCACCTCATATAGGCGTGCAGCTTCACGAATTGAGGTTATTTCATGCTCTTTAATAGCATTTATCGCGATTTCAAGTCTTCCCTCTATCTCTGTAGAGTTTCTAGCATTTTACGACAAATTGGTGGCATAATTGCACGTTGAAGTGGTTTAATTTTGAATTTGGTGGCCGACTCGGGGGTGGATTACGTTAGTTAGCTAAGCTTTTTAGTTCCCGCTTATTAATATCTAGGGTGTGCTTCAAAATGGTTAGAACTATTTCGATCTCAACTGGGGCAACTCTCACTACTCTCGATTATGCGGCCTCAAATGCAGCCGCTTCACATGCCCATCGCTTTCGACCTCCGCTAACTGTCTCTATGGTACTCGACTCGAATGTGCCCAAGGATCAAAATTGATATGCAAAGAACTTGGACAATGAGTCAGAGATTGTGCATGCCGACAACACCAGTCTCACTGCCTTGTTTCTAGAGTTAATGCTTTAAGGTGTCTTTGCAATAATGAGTCATATCCCTACGATTCAGAACCTCATGATCACAGATCGCCAAGGCGTGCCCATATTATCCTTTGTCAAGTCGCCTGCAGGGCTCACGGCCGACATCGATTATTGTTTCCCTGTGCAACTAAGGGGCAATCTGTCCATTGATTGTCTTCAATAGATGTTCAGTACTGCCACATTTTTGAGAAATAACGGTCAACTGAACTTCAATAACCATGGGTATTTTGCCTAATGTATTCATTGGAGCTCCCTGCTTTGTCTATTTCTAGAACAAATACCTCTTTATTAACTTTATTTGGTTTTTTTTTTTTTTTTTAATATTCGGTGGCTGTCTTTCACAACCTTGGAAGAATAATATATTCCTATCCCGGAAAATCAAATAGGGTTGGTTGGATGGCTCGAATACCCAACAACTACTCACTAAATACTCCGTATAACCATGTGGGTGCATGCTTTTGATAGTTCTTTGTTGCTGTCAAACGCTGTCAAACGGAGGGTGGTAGACCCAACAAGCCATTGGCCTTTCCGGGAGAGAGTCCGGCGTCCAGAGCACTGGGATCGGTCTGATATAACCTAAAATTAGTAATTATTTTATGCTAAGTGATCGAACCAGCCAAAGGGACTTTTGGGTTTGCCTATAGGAGTCGAGTTTTGTTCACAAGGAGAGTTTGTTAACTGACATCCCTGGTATGAGACCTCCCGAGACTTCACACGAAAGGATCTCTGTATACCTTTTGAACTTTGCAAAAGGTTTAGATGCTATCATCCAGCATCTCAATAATTCCTTTTCCGGTACCGAAGCTTTTGGTGATTTGGAGTCAACCTATGGACAAATTGAGTGAAACATTAATTTCTTTCTATAGGTTTTGCTCACAGTGACACATGCGTTTCGGAAGAACTGTCGGTCACAAACAATCGTTGGCTGCCTTGCAGAACCGAAACATCTTGGGATTCAGCCCGTGTCCCCATCATGATTACCACAGAAACCTGTGTCGGTTCTCAGATTCGTTTCAGGGTTTCACGGGCAAGCCAGGATGATATTGATACTATTGTAATGCCTTAGTCTTTTTCAATGTTTGCTCCAAACACCACAGCAATCAGGTTTTTTTAGACGTAGGTGACACAGGTTCTTAACCTTTTGCGGAATGGCTCGGAGCTGAAGTGGAGACCTCCGCAAATTGTTCCATTCCCCGTAGAATTAATTGAAGTTTTTCAAGTAGGTATGCCATTGAGAGCACAGACCAGATCACAACAATGATAATAATGCCGGACGATCGTTTTGAAACCAGAAAAATGTTGTCAAGGCAGACTCAGGCAAGATGAGGGGTTTAAATTAATATAATTGCGATTTTCATCCTTCCTCGGTGACCCTTGTTACAATGTACTCCGTCCCTAGCCCAGTTGGATCTAAATTCTCAAACCTTCGATTAAAAGAGAGATCTTCATGGATGTATGTACTCCGTTCAGTGGCACCATTATAAATGCAAATCCCAATGAAGAAAAAGGCTCTTGTTGTCACGAACCGCAGTTTTAAGCCAAATATTTTCTGGAACATCCCTCGGCCTGACGCTCTTAAATCTCATTGCGCTGACAAAAATCTCCGTCAGTGCTCGAAACTCGATCACCACTGCTGGGTTACAGGATCGGCGTTAGCCGCGTAGGTTGAATCCTGTTTCTGGCCAGGTTGACCACGGAATAATCATGGTAAAGAGCTGGGAATAATCCTTGCATGTAAAGCTCAATATCTGGGACCAGGGTATGCCACAACAATATCCAGTCCAACGAAACCGACTGCTCCTGCCAAGAGTCAAGACACAAGATAGTATCTCAAGCAAAAAAAAAAAATAAATAAATAAATAAAAAAAATAAGCGGTCCAAGAGAGAAAAAACTGTTCTTTGGTGTGGCCAAAGACTAGTTCTGGAACACTGCAAGTGATAACTAATTGGACATCCTGGTATGTCGGCGGGTTTTCGAAAATCTCCTGGGATCAGTAGAACAATGGACATGGGAATAACGGGGCTGGTAGTTGGGGGGGGGGGGCATGCAAAGAATCAACTGGGAAAATGAACCTATTTTCGACAAGGAGGAGTAAAGTTGAACCTTTCGTTGACAGGTTCTTTCTCATTGGATACTGAAGAGCGGTTGCCACCAGAATCACTGAGCAATACTCCATACCCCATGGTGAAATCGCCAAAAAATTCTCGCAACTCCTTTCAGAATGCACCTTCGGAATGCGCTCTGGTAAAGTTTGACTCCCTCCATTTTGATAAAGCAAGGATCCTGACTGGCTTGCAATGCGCGCATGATATCACATCCACACAACACTTTGCCGGCGGCTTGTGGGTTGTTGGTAGGCTTGTGCAGAGGATCTGCTCCAGACCATCATCATCATCATCATCATTATTATTATTATTGCCAAATCCTGGGCGAGACGTCTGTGCATTCAATGCCAGCCCATTTGTTACTCTATTTTATTCATAACCTTCAACTCTCGCTCAATGCACGCCGGGTCACAGAGCACGCTAGCGGAAACCAACCAGCCCTCCCAGGTTTCTTATTTTAGCCAGACAACCCCCAGCCCTGTCATCCACATCACTCCAGGCTCCAGACTCCAGAATCCAACCCCGTATCTGCAGCCTCACTTTTTTCTTTTTCTTCCTTTTCCTTTTCCTTTTCTTTTACTTTTCTATTTATTTATTTTTTTATTTGAACAAATCGTGGATGGCACACAGTGTTTCTTCCTAGAAATTATGCGATAGGATCTTTGGATGCGTATGTGTGTACGGTACATAGAGGTACATACATGTACAGAGTGCGTAAATTAAATGTTTCTTCTCGTTCACAGGCATATCCGCCAAATCCGATTCATTCCTCGTACCGAGTCGTACAGCTCCATTCATGCAACCAGCGCGAGGGAATGAATCTTGATAACGCCTTGTTGGGGATTGCATTGTCAGCAGCGTACCCACCTAGACCGCCAGGTCGAGGCTGACTCTGATGCCGCAAATGACGCGGACCATCATCCATGACGGCGCCAGGACGACAGTATTATTATTTTGTTATCCATTATGATTTTATTATCGATACACAGATCCTCGAAAATCCACAGGAGATGCAAGGGTTTATGCAGTTTTAACACCGTAGTACGCACTTACTCAAAACTTGGTAGGGACATACGCATCTACCTCCCCAAGGGCTGCCCTCAAGTAACTATCTTCAAGTGACCATGATACTTGGGTAAGCAGGGTTCTAACCTTGGGAGAGCCTCAAATCATATCTAGGTAAGATGAGCCAAATCTGATGATGTCTGCTGTTATTCTTGGACCATGCCAAGGAAGCATCCAAGAGTGGACTCTTTGTAATTTGTTCAACAATCGTGATTGTTAAGAATCAGGCAGATGGGAGTTGCGATAAACTAAGAACGGATGCTGGAAAATATAGACATTGTCCTGAGTCATTTTCCGATATAACTCATGTGACCAGATTAGAATAAGGTTGTGGCTAAGTTCCCACGTGATATTACGTTCATCCGTCGCCTTGGAGCCCTGGAGAGTTTGTTGCACCAACTCACTGGTTTGGGCGTTGATTGACTCAGAGGTCTGCTGGCGGTAGGAGCGGGATGACGTAGCCGCGCCACGTTAGATATTGTTCTCCTGATCAAGATGAGGCTAATGCCAAAAATATGAACGACAGAGTAGCTTTTCATTCAGAGATCAAGTACCTAACTCCTATTCCTGGTAAATCAAGATAAATATCAAAGCTTCTTCGACTTCAACCTGATTAAGTTTGGCGAGCATTCCATTTTCAGCAACAGCGGCCAGTCTTTCTGACCATGGCGAAAGAAGGTTTACTCTCAAGACACACGAAAACGATGTCAGAGGTCCCCGCGAGGAATATCACTTGGAGGGCGCTAGAACGACAATGCGTGTTGCGTCTTATTTGCCCCGAGCGAGCCTCCAAAGTATGCAATTCTCTTATTTCCCGAGTGGGTGGTGGCAAGTTGGCTGGGCTGTACGGGTTGCCGTCTACTTCGAGGGCTGGGCTCAGAAACAGGCCTCTTCCTGCCTCCCCACGGAAGTGCTTTTCAGCTGTCTTAAAATTTATCAGAAAAGGGTTCATTCTTTCTACTGGCAATTTGGGTGCTGCTTGGACAGTGCCGGAAGCATTTTTAGTCTGTCAAAAAGGGGTGTGATGAGTTTGACAATGTCCCTCGGCTGGTGCTGCCGATGGTCCCATCATGAGCCTTCAGTAATTTTCAGAACGCTTTCCCATCACCTGACTGCGGCTAGTCGTCCTAGCGATGGAGCGATGCCCGGCCTGGAAGACCGGGCAAGCCGCCAGCGGCTGGTTCAGGCAGGCTGGGAAACATCCGCGGCAGTCTCGGCAGAAACTCCGCCCAATGATAGCGCTCCAACCTCTTAAAAATTATTGTGCTAATTTTGTTGATCCTGGTCGTCCTTCCACATAACTTCGAGACGCATTTGCGCTGGTTCCAATGGGAATTAGGCAAGCAAAGAATCAACATCCAACCAGTCTGATGGATCATATCCAGGAGTTTCCATCGGTCTCGTCTCCATGGGATCCAGTGCTTTGCGTATCATTCTCGTTTCGAGCAACCAATAATTGTACTTTAGGACGAGGAATACCTGCGGCAGTTTATGCTATTCTACCAGCGTTACTATCTATACACCGAGTTTGGCGCATATGCAGCCTATGAACCCCACCAAATGAATGGATGGCTCAGGGGGGGGGGCAGAGTGTAGTAGTGTGCTCACGGTCTGCAAGCGAACACAAGAAGCTATGGATGACAGAAGAGAACCGTTGAAAAAGGGATAGTTGTCTTGCAAGGTATGGAAAATGACTCTAGTCGCCTTGAGCAGACGGTTCTTTATGCCGACGTAACAGCAATCTGGATGTTTAATTCCCTCTTTTTCCATCATTATTATCTCTGAAGAGTGGCTCTATTTTTGACAACATGCCATGATCAAAACAAGTTTGTCATGGAGAGTGGTGACTGGTGCAAAAAAATATCACTCGGAGGGGGACTTGGTTCTCAAGTTTGAGGACTTAGTTTCCAGTGTCAGCTTGCAAACGGATTCCCATTGTTATGTGCTATTGCGTGCGTCGAGTTAAAGTCTAACTGGCGGATAAATATGCCCTCAGGTAATAATTCAAACCTGTGTAAGGTTTATGAATTTGTCACCTGCTACTTACAGTTTCGCGATGTCCATTCTCTCTGATTTTAAGCTTCAGCCCAAAGAGTAGTGATAGTTACTGAAAGCTAAAGAGCTCAGAAATCGGGTTTGAGGGCATGGATGTTACCAAGGCAATAGAGGCACCACACCACACCGCTGGTCGATCATTCATTCTTTCCAGGTAATCAAATCCATGGACCGTGGATTGCTGGCCACTACTGCTTGGTCAAAACGACTTAAACTGTGGCAGATTCATACCTGACGCTGGACGGGAATATTCCTGTTCCTGAATTTGAGGGTTACCAAGCCACCACCTGGAGCCAGCAATCGAGGAACAAAGGCATATATATTATTTTTAAGATATCAACACCACCAGACATTCCTTTGTAAACGGAGAGGTATCAAGTCCCAATTAGCAGAGCTTGTGTACAAATTGCGGCTTCTTCAGTCTCCCAGCAGCCGGGCAGGCAAAAGCCCACTAGATCTTTGGCAGCCTTTCGTACTTCCGTACTATGCACACTAAAAAGAGAGAGCATCCAACAGCGGAGTAATATTAAAATCTTCAAGGGGTGTTGCTAGCTTGTGCTGGAAACTACGCTTTTTTATGCGTCTCTGACTCGACGCTCTCGCTCTTATTTCATAAATGCTTGCTCGATCAGCAGAGCCTACCGCCACAACAGCACTAGCCCTACAGGATGGAGCATTGAGAAGCCTGCCTGCATTTTGCCATCAGTTTGCAGCAGCACGGAAGCAGTAGTGTGTCATCTCTTTTGTTACTGTTCCCTTGGCTCTGGTGGCTGATCCATGGTTAATCCCTTCCATCCAGCCCAAATTTTTTGCCTCCCCCCTTTTACACTGTCTCTTCCAGACTCCTTTGTCAAAACCACCAATAATAGTTAGCGAGTGGAAAGCTTCCTTTGATCCATTTTCGCCCACACCATCATTCTTCCACGCACGCACGCACGCACGCAACCAACCACCCTACTATGTTAAGCATTCGTGTTGTATTCCGCCCAGACCTTTTCCCTCGTTTTGCTCCACAGTCGGTGCTTTCGGGTCCCTTGCTTACTTTAATTTGTTCCGACCGCAAATTATGGTTCTCGGGTCTTCTGATGCCATAATTAACTGAGTCATGTCTGTTTAACTCAGTTACCTAGTAAGGTAAAACGCCCTTGGGCCCTTGGCTATTGGCTCCATGGATCATAGCAACTACATCTACCACGCACGGAAGTATACACGATCGTATTACGGAGGCCTTAAGTTTCTGAAATGAACTTAGCCTTTTTTTAGGCTCACCTAACCGTTAAGACGGAGGATTTTGACACTCCAACTTTACCTGAAGAAGTTTGGGGCAGGGATCACGCTTGTTGGGTCCAAGCCTCCTTCGAACATTTCATATGCATATCGGCTGAAGTCATCGAGCACGCTAAGGGGGGTTGGCGGGCTGGCTATTAGCCTCATTATCCCAGCCCGACAATCATGCGTGGCTCTGGAAATGGGATTTGCCGATATCTGGCGACTCACCACATTTAGTGTCTTTCTTTGATTCGCCCAGAGGGAATGGTTTGTGGATAGCGCTCGACACCCCCCAAGGCGATGATTCTCATCACTCGCACGAACGATATAAGAGCAAAGTTTCCATGATGGTGGGGAGGGGGGTGGCACTCTTGCCTCTTATTTGTGGCCTAATTCGTCTTGCTCGATGAACTATGTGGAGTTTAAAGAAAGCATGGGCCGTGTCAAGTGTGGATAATTAAGGATTATTTATTTCTAATTTGTGAAGGGCCCCCGGCTAAACCGCATGCGACCCCCTTTTAAGATCATAACTCCTTTACTCTCCATCATCGTTGGTGAAAACTACTTTAAACTCTCAACTATTTGGATAACTATGATCGTATTTTTTACCCTTTAGCTTCAACCTCAACTCCGTCGCTCGCTCACTTTTCTTATACATCCCCTCTCTTCTATACCCTCCTCATACATCCATCCGTCCATTCTTCTTCTTCTTCTACTACTACTACTTCTTCCTCTTCTTCTTCATCCGACCTCTTCTATCCACCTGTGCAATCTACCACTCATCTCTTTTTTTTCTGTTCTTCGTAATAATTTGTCTAAACGTCCCGCTTTATTGTCATTGCTTTGGTTGCGCATCTGTATCGGACGATATATACTGGGCTACATTGCCACAATCATTCCTTTTCAGAAAACTTTTTGACAAATTGCTTCACAGCACGCATATATTATACTCCGTCCATACAGTTTGGAGGATCAGGATCCCCAGTTATATATTTAATTCGGAGTTTCCCGTTTCCCGTTTCTCCAGGTTTAAACCAATAATATTTACCGGCCCGGGAAAGTTGATATTGGAATTCTTCTTGTTTGCGGCGCCTCTTCAACCCTCAGTTGCGGCCCCGTATAATGTATCCCACAATGTTACCAACACCTCCACCATCACCACCGCCTGTTTCAATATGCGATGCTCCGGAAGATAGGCTCGGATTGTTGCTGGCCAACCGGCTGGAACTCACGAGCGTTCTTGGGATAGGTGCCTATGGTGTTGTGTATTCTGCTATCGACATCCATACCCATGTACCGTACGCTGTCAAGGCCCTCAATAAGGGAGGACTCGACCCCAAACAGCTAAAGTTTCAACAACGAGAAATCAAGCTTCATCATTTGGCCAGTCAACATCCCAATGTGGTTTCTTTGGTCCGCATAATGGATTCTCTTGAGTGTACTTTTGTTGTTATCGAGTTTTGCCCAGAAGGCGACCTGTTTTCCAACATTACCGAAAGAGGTCAGTTCGTTGGAAACGATTTCCTTGCCAAACGGGCTTTTCTCCAGATTTTGGATGCCGTGCATTATTGCCACTCCATTGGAATCTATCACCGGGATCTCAAACCAGAAAACATTTTGGTCACGGATCATGGAATGACAGTCAAGCTGGCCGACTTTGGCCTTGCCACGACTGATTTCTACACGTCTGATTTTGGATGTGGCTCAACGTTCTATATGTCACCAGGTATTTTAAAATCTCCCCTGTCCGTTGATCTACAAAGTTGTCTTCTCTATTGAAAGCCTTTGTTTTTCTACATTTTAAATCTAACTGCGACATAGAGTGCCAACATTATACCCCGCGACCATATGCTTCTGCACCAAATGATGTATGGAGTCTTGGCGTCATCCTGGTAAATCTCTGCTGTGGGCGGAACCCATGGAAAAGAGCATCCGCGGAAGATACCACTTTCCGCGCCTTTCTCAAGGATCCACAATTTCTGAGGACAATCTTACCCTTGTCCCCAGAGCTCGATTCCATCTTGAGGCGCATTTTTGAGTGCGACCCCCAGAAAAGAATTTTAATTCCAGAACTGAGGAAATTGATTGTGGAATGTCCTAGATTCACCGTTCGCACCGGGTCTTCTTGTTTATCCGCACCCTCAACCCCTGCTTGTCTGAGCTACCAATATCCGAAGGAATCCTTTGGCCTCATCAACTATATTCCATGCCCAGTCTCACCTCAAGCCGAACCAATCGACGTCGAATATTCGCTGTCAGCGGGTTCTGATACCTCTCTCTCTGATTGCGGGTCCTCTATCTCGTCTTCATCTTCTTCATCCGAATATACGCGTTACAGCCAAGCATCGAATCGAGTTGGATACGCTCCACCTTCAGGAGTACCTAATTTCTGGGGATCCATTATTCCACTCTGCGACATTGGCGATAAGAACCTGTCACGGCAACACCCCATAGAACCCGCAATTGCCGTATTTTGAAAGATATCCGTGACTAAACATTCCCCACTCTTCATTATTTCCCCTTAAAATTTCCTTGGAAGAACCCACATACCTCTTTTTTAATACCAGAACAACGGAACGAATTTCCTTTTTCTTTTTAATGACCTTGGCGCAACTCCGAAGTACGCGAGTGCTGGATTTGATTATCTATATCCAATGGATATTACCTATATTCTCTAATACAAATTACTCATGAATCATCTTGCCAAACCAGGAAACAACAATTTTTTTGCTGGATTTTATCCGCTGGCCACTTGGACTTGCGCAAACTCCTCCCATCTCAATCTGGATTGGATTTATCCACTTGGGGATTTCCCTCTTTACTGTTGTGATTTTTTGGCCATTCATCTTTTTTTATCACGTATAACCTATCTTGGTCGCCCTCCCGTCTCCTAAGTTCTCCGCAACCGGATCTGTCCATTCTTTACGCTTTTGGGGGCAATCCTACTCCTTTTCACACATACGAACAAAAATCCCTCTTTCCACATAAGGCGACAACTTGTACAAAGTTTTACTGCAGTGGTTGGTCTCGTTCTATTTTGGAAGGAAAGCATTCTTGCCTGGCGTTGGATCCGTGCATCACAATCGAAAATGAATGATGTCTAACCCATCTTTCTGAGGGTTTCTTTTTGGCGCCTTTATATAGAGAGTGCTATTTTGAGGCTTGGCGGTCTTGTTTTTACAGTGTTTGCTTGTTATCCTTCATTCCATCTCGGAAAGTGATGGTTCCTTTACTTTCTTGTCCATATCTTCTGATGCTCGTTATTATTTCACATATTCCCTCGCCTGTTGTTGTACATTTATCTTACTGATACCCATGTCGTTCCCTTTTTTTTTTTTTTACTTGCAATCATATAAAAGGCGAACAGAACTTTTATATTCTCTGTCATACATAATACCTTATTTATTCACCTTTGTACTCTGCATACATGATGGTTACCTGCAGCCAGAAATTTTAGTATACATTCAGCCCTCCATCTCTTTACTTGAATCTATTGTTGAACAGTTTACTCGCATTATGCCCTAGGTTGGGTTTAATAAGCCTGATGGGTTGTATAATTATTTGATGCGTTGAGAAAGAATGTCGATAACCCTTAGATCTGTACGTAAGAGTCGTGTGTCTATTTATGTGTTGTTTCTCATCTCCACTTAGACTGTGCTTTCTAATCTGTATATTAGAATTATTTTAACTGTGGTGCAATTGATGACAAGGCACTCGGGCTTAATATACACCTTACCATTACACCCACATGAAGCGTCTTGTCTCTCTTTCACAGTGTGTTCTGTTTGTGCTGTCTGAATAATTTTATGGGACATCATTCCCAATCTATCGTTTCATTTCATATGTATGACAGGCCGTTCAATCCTTTTTATCTGGTTTCCGCTGCTCAAGCACAAAGGTGATGCTGGGCCCGTTGGCTGCACTTTTCTCCAGTATATATATATATATGCGAGCAAATTGAGGTTTAAATTCCGTGGATCGCTCACCAACCTCGTCTATTCTGTCATGATACGGAAGGTAAAGAAATGAGCTAGCAGAGAGACCAAGAGAGCAAGGGTACACACTCACTCATAAAAAAACAAAAGGGCTTAGCATTTTCACATAACTAATGTCCCAAAAGAAAACACATTCATGCCCTTAACCCTCATCACAGTCCGAATTTTTAAATTACATCTCTTACCGACTCACATATTTCTTCCACCTGTAACCATAATCGTCTGGCCATTGACATAGCTAAACAAAGGGCTCGCAACTGCCAAAATCGACCTTGCCGCCTCCGCAGGAGTAGCCCCTCTTCTCAGAGGGATATCTGGGTACTTCTCCGCCTCGTCGTTCCCAGCTCTAGCAGCCAGCTGCTTAGAGGGAATCCCCAGAGCGACTTTCTCACCGTCAGGCGTTGTAATGAACGCGCCAGCCTCCTTGGCGGAAGTCAACCGTGTCAAAACAAGGCCGAATGCAATGGTGTTGGCACGCACGCCGAATTGAGGACCCCATTCCTTCGCAATGGTCTTAGTAAGACCGACCATACCCGCCTTGCCGACGGCGTAGTTCGCTTGGCCCCTGCGAGTGTGTTAGTAATATTAAGCAATAAGCAAAGGGTTCCGAATGTATAACATTTTTAAAGGAAGAGGGGAAACCATTGGGGGACAACTGACGCGTTTCCGTGGATACCACTGGTGCTGCTGATGTTAACAACAACTCTGTCTACGCCATCCTTAACTCTGAAATATGGAGATGCGGCTTGGACAAGCTTGAAGGGAGCTGTGGCGTGGACAGCTAGCATGGCTTCCCATTGCTTATCTGAGAGCTGTTTATTTGAAATAAGGTGGCATATGTTAGTTAATGTTAGTGGTATAGAAGCGGCCATGTAACATAGCAAAAGAAGCAGGACGAAGTATCTAACCTTATGGATAACGCCATCCCATGTATAGCCGGCATTATTAATAATGATATGGATTTTTCCATTTCCAAACTGCGCAGCTTTCTCAACCACCCTCTTTAGATATGCGGCATCCGTCACATCGCCAACTACGGCAATGGCTCGTCCGGGAGCGGCGTCATTGATAGCCTTCGCAACAGCCTCTGCTTTCTCTGTTCATAATTTCAATATACGTCAGCCCTTCTCCCATCTGAACAGCCTTGCCATGGGTGGTAGGTAGCATAGATTGGTTGTATGGATTCTACTAACTGCCATCGAGATCCGCAACAACCACCTTCGCGCCCTCGTTGGCGAACAAATGAGCAGCTTCAGCGCCAACACCCTGTCCAGCTCCAGTGATAATGGCAACTTTGCCAGCAAGCATGCCCTGAGGGTAATTGAGGTGGGAGGACACCTGTGCGATGCGCTCTTGAGGGGCCATGGTGATTGTGGGTGGTGTGATCCGAGCTGAGTTTGAGAAGATATTTGTAGCTTTAAGCAAGGACCAGAAGGATAGAATAGCAGTATCTTAGACACAGGAGCAGATAAACAATGGGTATAATATATATATGTGACAATAAAAAATGGAATTTTTAAAAATTTCTGGGAATTGTTTGGTTATGTAGTTCCCCTGCTCGCGGGGGAGTGTGTTGGAGAAGCCAATAACCCGGAATGAACGCCGAATGCCGAGGAACAAAGATCGCTCTCAATTTGTTGCCGTTTCCGACAGCAATGGAGAGTCAAAAGAGACAAGAATTACGAGTGCGCAAAGACTCTGGAATCTGCACTCGAAATGACCGAATTTTGTGTGTGTCCGTGTACAAAAGGTGGTATATAGTAATAGTCTTTTACGGTTTAGATAGCCCTAAATTTTGTTACCCTTAAGGTTTGACTCTCACAACAATTACGGCTATTCCATCTGAATTCCCGATAAGTAAAAATTCCCAGAGACCAAACATACACAAAACCTAATATACAATCTAAGGGGAGTGTGCATTGTTACATATAAACAGACCGTCTATAAACATGCCGGAGCTAAAACGCTATGTGCGATAGCCAAACGCTTGCAGCAGACCTGTTAAATGTGAGATAGCCGCAAGAACAACAAGACATGAAATATGTGACGAGAGCTTCCCAGGATGTCAAATTTTCAGGGTGCTATCGTTCCGGCACTCGTGCCGCATCTATAGTAGCGCCAGCTATGTACAAACCCCATTGCAGCACGAGCCAGAAAAGTCCGATTTGATCCAACATCTGCTCTAAACCAAAAGCTCATAGATCATGCATCACATGAAAGATCGCCGACAGTCCTATGGCAACAAACATGCCGGCACGAAACGGTCGCCGCGCGGGCGTTCTGAAGCGTGGGCATGAACGAAATGATAGTGCACCCCGTCCTGATCAAAGATATCATTGTCCCGTACAATTTCTGGAATTTGGGAAAGGAGAAGCCGTAATAGATGCTCGGGATGAAACTCCCTGTGATCAACCTGACAATGCCGACATAGTCCAACACATTCCCGATGCGAGCTACTGTGTGAGAATGGTTGGATATTGTGTGGAAGATAGAGCTCAGAGTAAGATAGAAGGTAGCACCGGCCAAGAAACAGCTGAATGTGAGGACATCGCTGTGCGTGGCGCTCTCATATCGGATTGCAATGGCTCTGCAGATGGCACGGCTGATATGGCTGGCGAGGAGGTGATTTACGGTTTCGTTATGCACATAGCCCAACGACTGAAACGACACGGTGAAGGAGCCAGATGCTGACCGATAACCCGTCTGAATAAGACGGTTATCTCGTTGTCAGGGTTCCAAGTTATCCCAATGGATTTTCTTTAGCAGATCTTGGATGCTACTTTCGAGGCAGTTTCTGCCGTCTTCTCAGTTGTTGAGCTTGCCAGCGGTTGCGTTGGTAACATCGCAATGGTGATCCTGAGTTGCCACGTTGACGCATAGATAGACATTATGTGTTAATCCCGCCGTCGCAAATCAGCCATGAAATTTATCCATGGATTGGTCCTCGAGATGTTGTGCCTCGGCAAACGTTGGGTCGCCGCCGGATAATAGTATTTACGAAGCGAGTGCAAACAGGTCAAACACCGGGGATGATGTTGTTGGCTCAAGCTCGAAGCTTCCCTCCCGCCGCATTTTCCAATTGAAATCTCACCTCATAATATATCGCAGGGTCATATTTAAGCTGTAGTGTTTGTTGACGGCTTGGGAGGCTGCTCTTTGAACACGCAATGGATGATACGTTGCGGCCTCCAAAGGTCACGCCAGGTTGGACTGGTGGGGTAGGCAGGATATCGAACGATTCCCTCGCCCAGGTGGGATTTACTTCAAAAGGAGATACAAAGTAGGTGGTCGGCAAATACTAACCAAGGGTATACATATACCTGGGTGCATATGTGTTGTTTTCATGGTGGGCATTGACGATATACTGCGTAGGCTCCTTGAACCCAAGGCCCAAGAGCAGTACTACAAGAAGATTGTAGATCGATATGTACACTTTTGCAACGTCCATTCGGGGAACCTCGATGCCGCATTTGGCTCACTCCCAAGAAACCGATCCGAAGATCCAACGAAGAACCCTCCGGTTCCTATACCCATAAGACCAGGCTCTAGATCGAGATCCCGTTCCCGATCACCAAAGCCCCCAAGCAAACCCACTGCTCCAAATGGGACCAAGGCCCCTGCTCCGCCAGAACAGCCTCCACCACCAGCAGAAGAACTCTCCACGCTTCTTCTCTCCCTCCGTAAGCTGCGCGAAGCAATCCTAGCGACCAGCTCCAAAACTCCCATCGCATTCTCGCAGCGAGTCCATATATTCTGTATTCGAGTATCGATCCTCGCCCAGCATCCACCGTCGTACTACCCCCCTCTACAGCGTTTGCTGAAACACCTTCACTCCTCTGCGAATCCGTTAGATCCATCTGACCTGCACGAGTTCACGACATATTTGATCCTAGACTACGCCTGTCGACAAGGCGATATGCCGGCGGCATATGAGCTCCGGGCACGCTCAAAAGTGGCATTTGGATACCGCAATAATTCCGTGGACCATACACTCAGAGCGCTAATTCATGATGACTGGGTGTTATTTTGGAGAACTAAACGGAACGAGAATGCATATACGAAGGCCTTGTTGAATTGGGCTGTCGACAGTGTACGCAGGCGAGCATTGAAGGCAGTTGGGAGGGCGTATCTATCAGTAGATGTGAACTATTTGGTGGAATGCTGCGCAGGAGAAAGCGAAGGTTGGACATGGGAAACGTTGGTGGAAAGGGAGGGCCTGGGATGGAAGAGAGAAGATGACAAAGTCCTAATAAGGGTTAGGAAGCCGATTGCTGAAACGAAAAAGTAGCCATATATATACATATATATATGTATGTATTGTATAGCATGAACCATCACACGGAACCGGAGTATTGGTTGGTTAAGGTATACGTTCGAGCCTCCGCATACGGCGTGAGAAGTTACCATCTGTGAATAGTGTTGTTCTATAGATACAGGTGCATGGAGTTTCGGTGTTTGGCTGCGTCTAATGTATCTGAATACCACAGACGAGGAGTTCAAGTTTAGCAAATGGATCCCAGCATTAGAGCTGTTAGTACAAATATTGCGCTTTTGTCTTTGAGGACAAAATATTATAGTTTGAAATCCGCATTTGGTCTTTCCCAATTTCTGATTCGCGAGGGTGGTTGGCTGGCAACCCGTTCAGTCAAGTCGGATTTGAGATATCTTGACTTTTCAGAACATAACTCATATATTGTCGCTAGATTAAACGTAAGGCTCTGAAACGAATGGTTGTTGTTCACCAAAGATTCAAGGAGTTCGCGAGACTGCACCCATCAAGGTAAAGTGTTAGCACACATTATTGTCTCATGGAAACAAAACATCATAAACTAAAGGCTAATTACCTCATTCAACTTCCCTGTATACAATAAGCACACTGCTAAATTTTGTGCAATTAGAGCTTCATCTTCTTCTCCAATGTGGCTTGCCCGAAGCGCTTCCCACCCAGAGACTGCATCAGCATATCGACCCTCTGCCATGCACAACAAACAATGTAGGATACCCCCTGCCTCAATAGGAAAATTATCCAACAGTTGTCTTGCCGCTTCGACATCTCCCACTTTGAGATATAATAGCGTCATCCGTGAGGTCATTAATGCTTGTTCCTTGGGTGGGACTTTCAGGTTTGCAAGTGATCTCCGCGCAGCGTCCAAGTCGTTCATTTCTATCAGCGTATTTATTACCCTGATCCTCAAATCTGCCAGTCTAGACTTCCAAACCTTCCTCTCGTCCTGCCCAAGTCCCTTGTGCGATAAACGTTTTCTAGCTTCTAGCCCAAGTTCATACAAGCCACTAATACCTTTTCTCGAATCTCCAAATCCAATGCTTTGTAATCTCGCTGCAAGGACACGAAGGGGCCATGGGACGATATGCTGAGTCTGAAAACCTTGACCAGCGTCGCCAGATGTCCCTTCAGCCTCTGGCTTGATGTCAACATAGTAAAAGTCCGAACTTAGATCCTCCAGTGCTTTCGCTTCTTGTGCAGCTAAAAGAGTATTCCCGGTTAGCTCTAGACAAGCTAGGCGAATGTATAGGAGTGAAAATATCTTCTTATGATCGTCGTGGGATAGGGCGGATGACGTTAGAATAGCCGCTGATAAATGCGCCGCAAGAAGGAAGTGACCATCATTCAAGAGGTTTTCGAGAGTGGCCAGGGAAGTTGGTAAGGGTTCATCCGGAGAAGGAGTGGGAATCTCCGAACGGAAAGCTGGTGATATATTTAGTAAAGAGAGAGGATGGTAGATGTCGGGCCGTAAGAGGTATGCGAAGCTTTTATCCGTAGAAACGGATAAGGTATCGTCAATTGACAACATCGATAGCAGAGGGAGAGATGTGGGAGACGCGCTTGCGCATCGCAGCGGAGTGTGGGATTGAGACCGTATGGGGACGGTGGTAACCGCCGGCGCAGCGCTGAATTTTGTCCTTATCTCAGCCAAATTTCATAGTATTAGGAAACTGAAAGTAGAATAAACCTTACTCATCTGGCGCATCTAAAGGCCCCTTGGTAGCGCTACGCGGGCGAGTAGCTAGAAAAACATCATTAGTGCCTGGAATCGGACGGTTTGATAATAAATTTTAGAGCAGATATTATGTAGGTTAAACACTGTACCTTTTATTGATGCATTACGCCGATGTCCGGAACCTGGAGAATCCATGATTGATAAATGGGGACGAGTTCAGTATTAGAGAACTAAAACTGTCAGGGTAGTTTGCAGCAAACGCTATTGAATCTCAATAAGTCTCCACGTAAACAACATCAATTATTTTTTGTCTTCTCTGCCAAATTTCAAGAAAGTCTGGGGTAATATACATCACCCCTCCCGAGCCAGCACATCTAAAATGTCCATCCCAGGCACACAACACAGTGGAATGGCAATTGGTTGCACCTCAATTCTGCCAGGCGGTGAGCGACGCTTATTTAACCCCTGCCGGTCCCTGCCCTGAAATAGATAACAGCGAGTCCTCATCATCATCGACTGTTGACATTGCTGCTGCAATCGCCAACAACAGCAAAATCCGCTGTCAATTGCCACGATTCATTGACCGATGTCGCCGCCATCCAGCTTGTAAATAACAGAGCTCCGCATGCCCATCCGTGGCCCACGGTACCGCCCAACCCTCCAAGTCGTGGACCAGAATTCCGTCTCCCAATTCTTCAATCCCCCCAGTTCTGTCGTTCATAACAACAAAATGACTTCACAAAACAAGTACTCCGTTATTCTACCTACCTACAATGAGCGCAGGAATCTGCCAATAATCTGCTGGCTGCTCGAGAAAACATTTAGAGAAAAGTATGAATCCCCCTTTGGTTTGCCAATGCCAATGTCTGGATTGAAACTAAGTTTGGCTTGCAATCATTTCTAGTAACCTAGATTGGGAGGTAATTATAGTGGACGATGGGTCCCCGGATGGAACACTACAAGTTGCGAAACAGCTCCAATCACTCTGGGGCCCGCAGCACATCATTCTGAAGCCCCGTGAAGGAAAGCTTGGTCTTGGAACCGCTTATGTCCACGGCCTGAAATTCACGACAGGCAACTTTGTAATTATCATGGACGCCGATTTCAGCCACCACCCAAAGTTTATTCCCGAAATGATAAAAATCCAAAAGGAAACAAACTGTGACATTGTCACTGGAACTAGATATGCTTCCCGCGGGAACCTGCGTGGTGGAGTCTACGGCTGGGATTTGGTCCGCAAGCTCACTTCGCGTGGCGCAAACTTGATCGCCGACATGATGTTGATGCCCGGGGTCAGCGATCTGACGGGAAGCTTCCGATTGTACAAGAAACCTGTTCTCGAAAAGGTTATTAAGAGCACGGAGAGCAAAGGATATACCTTCCAGATGGAAATGATGGTTCGAGCAAAGGCCATGGGATTCAAAGTTGAAGAATGCCCGATTACGTTTGTTGACCGTCTTTACGGCGAGAGCAAACTTGGTGGTGATGAAATCGTGGAGTACCTGAAAGGGGTTTTTACACTGTGGCTGAAGGTTTAGCGAAATTCTTTCATTCTCCTACTTTTCCCTCTCTTGTTCCATTAAATGTTTAATTTGTATTTCTGCCTGGCGAATATCGGGGGAACGGACTGGATTTTGCCAAAAGTCAATGGTGTCCTAGTTTTCTCAGGAAGCTCTGCAAAATATTTTATAACCATAGCTTCGTCTGCTTGTAAATAATACCCATTCTATA